TTTCCTCTATTTGTTTTTTTTTTAATAAGACTTAAGTTGATCATAAAAGATAAAAAAATAATTATTTAATTAACATAAGATTTGATATATGATAAATAAGAATAATAAAACCTAGAAAATATGATATAACAGAAACCTAATAGAAGCAAACTAGAAATAAAATGATACTAAGATTGATGCACATATTTAAAAAAAGATAAATAAATAAAAAATTACCTTATTCGTTTAACAAATTGGTTGAACATATTGGAGAAGTCAAACTAGTTAAAGAGATAGAAGAAACCAAACTAGTTGAAAATTTTGAGGAAAGTTAAAAGAACAAAAGGTAAGAGAAAGAAATATGTGAGAAGACAGAGCGTAATATGAGAAGATAAAGAGTTATATTTTAAAATTTAAATTTAAATATAAAAAAAAGATGAAAGGTTAATATGTAACATAAGAAAAGAAGAAAATATAAACCGATAAAGAGACAAATGGTTAATATTTGTGAATTTGGCTTATTATGTCTTTTATAAATCTTAAATTTATTGTTATATTAATTGTTAATTCTTAAATTTATTATAACATTCACTTTTTTTTCTTTTCTGGCTAATGTTCTATTTACCCAGCTCATTATAGGATAAAAAGAAGGAAGGGAGACGTTAATTGTTATGAACCGACATAGAAAGTAATGAACTTTTTACTATAATTGTTACTCGATGGATTCAAACCCAATACCTTAGAGTATAGAGTTGAAAAATGATACTCCAACCACTAAACTACTACGATTTTAATTATTTACAATTACATTTCGTTTATATTATATTTTTATTGTACTTTATAATATATTATTTTATTATCTATTAGAAGTTTGAATTATTATCAAATTAAAATATTTGTCACTATTACGATTTTCCGATTAATAACTTACAAATAAATTATGTTTATATACAAAAATATATAAATACAAATATATTTATATATTTTGATATATTTATATATTTAATTTTTTTAATTTAATATACACTTTCTATATCTATTAAACTAAACCGACATAAAAGTTCACCTTCTATGTCGGTTAAATTTTAACCGACATAGAAAATTCACTTTCTATGTTGGTTGAAATTTAACCGACATAGAAAATGAATTTGTTCACGTACCATGTCGGTTACATAACAATCGACATAAAAAGTTCATAATATTATTATAAAAATGTCACCGTCCTACATATTATGACGGGTGGATTACAACCGTCATAAAAATTCGTCATAAAATTATATTTTTCTACTAGTGTGGTTTTACACTGGAACCGTAACATAATATCATAATCAAAACCTAATATCTTTCTTAGTATTGTCTTTGGTTTAAAGTACAAATATTGACTACTGACGTGGAAATCAAAACAATTTAAAATAAAATGTTTAACTAAAAAAATCAATCTTTTAAATTTGGTGAATTTGGAGTTTCACGTTGACTTCCGTAATATTTCTTAAAATTGAAAAAAATTAAATGTTTGTCTATATTCAAAATTAATTAAACTAAAGTTGAAGGTTTCTTCAATTTTAAAATTAATTTTAATTGATATTTATTGGCGAAATACATTGAGATTTATATGATATTTTTATTTATTTTTGTTCAGGTTGAACTTTTACATATCTTGATTTGGGATTGGTGATTTTGAAGCCAACCTATAAAACCCTGAATTTCACCATGATATTGATGGTGATGAAAAAGAAATATAGTTTTTTGTAAACGATTATTTAAAGGAAAAAAAAAATCATCTTATTTTTAAAGCTTTATAGGAAACATGAAAACACTATACCTAAAATATCTAATTAAAGAGTCAATTATTATTGTGACGTATTTATATATTTATTTATGTTAAGGAGAGAGGCTGGCGTGGAATTTGAGAATTGTCTGTCTCCTCTCTTGTTTGTATAAGATGAGTATTAAATAATACAAAAAAACCTTTCATGCTTGTCTGGATTTTGTTTTTAAATGGTCCCCTTATAGTATCCAAAAATAAAATAAAAAATTGAACATTTCGTTCAATCTTAAAAATTCGTACCTTCACCAAAAACAAAAACTAAATACAATCATAAATAAATAAATAAAGTCCTCAGGGAACCCTTTCACATAAGAAGAGTTAAAAAAATACGACAAAGTTCAACGAATTGAAGGAGAAAAAAATGTCGCGTTTGATATGATAAGGAGAACAACGAATTGGAGGGTTTTCTCATGAGAAGCCAAAACAGGCCATTGAGAATAATTGCAAATTCAGGAGTGGTTTTATAGTCAAACCAATATTGTGTCCCGTGTAAGAATCCCTTACTTTATTTTTTAATAGTAGACTATTCTATGTTGACTTTTTTACACCAAAATTCGATAGGTAAAACTTGAAGATGAGACAATTTGCTAGCCTATTAATTTATTAGTTAGATATGATAGTAGATAAGCATAACATACCTATAAAATTTATTTAATTTTAAAAAATTTAGTTGTCTTCAATACGACTTTAAAAATTAAACATTTTCAACTCTAAACACTAAAAAGTGTGAAAGAATATATGAGCATTTTTTTTATAACGAAATAAGTGTCAAAATTGTTAATTTTAATAGAAAAATATATGCAATTTTTAATTTTTATAATAAATTTTTTATTTTATTTTTATATTCATAATAAGAGTTTAGTGTTAGGTTGTTTGAGTAGAGTCTCCAAACAGATTTTCTAATTTAGAAACTAATTAGTTGTATAGTGAAAGAAACATGATCATTTTCATTTTCCGTAGAGCTTTTGGATATTTACCTCCTCTTTTCACATTTCCACTTCTCATCTTTATAAATACTTTTATTTTTATTATTTTATTTTTTATTAAATTCTCACTTTTTTTATTAGCCCCTCCAACACTTATTGCATAAATTATGATAATTAATTTCGTAGTGCATAAATTATCCCTCAAATTAGTATCTATGAATTTGTTTATTTCCGTAGATATGCTGAGAAAAATAGAGAAAAAAAAGCGTTTTATCTTCAAAATTCACAAGAAAGAAGTTAAAAGACAACTCGCCACATATTTAACGTATAAATAATAAAAAAAATTATTTATAAGACATTGATAAAGGATTATATAAATATATAATTAAAATATTTAATTTAATTAAATTTTACATAAAATATTTTAATAATTCACTAAACTATATAATGATTATATTTTTTATACTCTTAAATTAATCAAATCAATAAATTTTCACTCTCTTTTTTTATTTTTTAATCCAAAAATGTTATGTTCTATTTTATTTTTATTTCTCTCATTCCTTTTCCATCCTCTCAAATACATTATCAATTTAAACAAAACATTAGTATAATTATTTAAATAAGTGGTTTCTTTGAAATTAAGTACATTTTATAATAGAATTTAAATTGAATTAGCATAAACAAATATTTTTGAAAGAAATTAATTTTGATATATTATTATATGAAATATTTTTATCCTACGAATCAATTAGAAATCATCTTAAATATTTGTTCAAAGTGATTATTATAAAATTAAAATTTAAAATTTATTTATAGTGTAATTATAACAACGTATTTATTTTACATTATCAATATGTTATATTTATTTATTTTTTACAAGTAGTAATATCTTATATTTTTTTACTTATAATTATTAAGAATAATTTTAAATCTCCATATATGTATTAAAAAATTAATGTTATTTTCTTACTAATTTTAAAACTTAATTGATAAAGTACAAAATATATAGTCAAATTTCAAATATTAAATATATTTATTTTTCTAATAATTTCAAGTATTAATATGATTGGTAAAGAAATATTATGAAGTAAAAGGAAGTAAAGAAATATGGCAAGAGAGTATATACTATTTAATAACTAGTAACATCATAATAACTAAAATCAGGTTTAAAAACTTCAACCTTGAGGAATAATTTTAAACATCTAGAAAGAGTAATAAAAAATTTATTCAAATAATTATTCTTTACATTTTTGTATTTTTAGTGTTATATTAATAATTTTTTAAAAATCTTATTACTTGTACATAAAATCACCACTAAAATTAAAAGTTGACACTAGTATCATGTTATTAAATTTCTTAAAAAAATCTAAATCGAGAATGAAAATTAAGAGTAGACTATGCTATTGCAACCATTCATTGAAAGAAAGAACCTTCATATAAGACTAATAGATAGGGTATGTGGGGAAGCATGAAGAAAGAAAGAGTGGATTTTGGAAGTAACAGAAGAAATACCAAGCAAAAGAGATACCCCAAAAAGTGTATGCATCCTAATAATATCTATTCTTAAAATATTATTTTTGAGTTTTCATCACATAAATATAATATGACATTTCAAAAAAATAAAATCAGTTTATTAAATAGGTATTGTGTGGATATCCTTAAATTTGAGATCTACATCTATGGTAGCTCTTCATTTGTCGCAAAGTTTGGGTCTTGAACGGTGAGTTTATACTTTCCTAGAAAAATCAGATTTCTTTTTTATTAGATAAAGGAAAAGGACAAATGAAAATATGTAATAAATATCATCTTTTTATGTCATCAAGGTGTTAAGGAAAATTAATTTCAAGGTTATTTTTCATAATAATAATTTTTATAATTAAACATTAAATAAAAGTACAACTTATCATTATGTTAATTAAGCTAACATTACTTTATATAACTTAATATATTATTGATGGCATAAACATATAATACTCACTCTAAAACATAACAAAGTTAATATCATGTTTATTTTTTTAAACAACTTAGTTATACAAACAACAATATCAATTTACTTGAATAAATTAATACAATAAAAATAATAGTAGATCAAAATTAAAAAATAAATAAAAATTAGTTAGAAAACAGAAAATTATTTTCTAGAATCATAATTTTCATTTTCTTATGTTAAAGTCCATTCAAATATGGCAGCGACGAAGACCCGCATAACTTGCTCTAAAAACCTGAGTTTTGAAAAGATAAGAAAGGAAACAACAATTGTCAATTCAATGGAAAATTTAGTTTTCCTTACTGTCATCGTTCTCATTTCAATTTTCCCTGCAGCAACTTCAAGTTCTGCTGGCCTTGAGCAAGGTTTCCTTCAATGTTTTCAGGCAATTTTAGGGAAAAGCACAACTTCAGAATTAATATTCACCAAAAGCAGTTCTTCTTATGAATCCCTTTTGAATTCTTCTATAAGAAACGCCAGATTTCTAAACAGTTCAGTCCCAAAACCAAACCTTATTGTTACTCCAGATAGCCTTTTCCAAATCCAAGTAGCACTTCTTTGCTCAAAGAAAAATGGCTTACAAGTAAGAGTTCGAAGTGGGGGGCATGACTATGAGGGTCTTTCTTATGTCTCTCACCTTCCATTCATCATCATTGATCTTCTCAACCTTAGATCCATAACCATTAATATGGATGAAGAAAGTGCATGGGTTCAATCAGGTGCTACAGTTGGAGAACTCTATTATGCAATTGCAAAGAAAAGTAAGGTCCATGGGTTCCCAGCTGGAAGTTGCTCCACTATTGGTGTTGGAGGGCACTTGAGTGGAGGTGGGTTTGGAACAGTTTTCAGAAAGTATGGCCTAGCTTCTGACAATGTAATTGATGCTCAGATAATAGATGTCAATGGAAAGATACTGAATAGAACACTGATGGGAGAAGATCTCTTTTGGGCCATAAGAGGAGGGGGAGGGTCTAGCTTTGGAGTCATCACAGCATGGAAAATCAAGCTTGTGCATGTTCCTTCAACAGTGACAGTTTTTGATGTTTCAAGGACCCTGGATCAAGGGGCCACTGACCTTTTCCATAAGTGGCAAACTGTTGCTCCCAAACTTCCTGCAGAGCTTTTTCTGCACACTGTTGTGGGAGTTTCCAATTCAGCTTCTCATGGTGGAAAAACTGTGGTGGTTTCCTTCACAGGATTGTATCTTGGGACAGCTGAGAATCTCCTTCCTTTGATGCGAAACAATTTTCCAGAATTGGGTTTGCAGCACAACAACTTCACCCAGATGACTTGGATTAAATCTGTTCTTTACTTTGCAGGGTATTCAATAGATGAATCCTTGGAGGTCTTACTCAGGAAAAATCAAACATCTTCAAGTTTCAAAGCAAAATCTGATTATGTAAAGGAAGCCATTCCGTTAGTTGGCTTAGAAGGGCTATGGAAGATGCTACTCTTGGAGAACTCACCACTATTAATATTCACACCCTATGGTGGAATAATGAGTGAGATTTCAGAATCAGAAATTCCGTTTCCACACAGAAAAGGGAACTTATACGGCATTCAGTATTCGGTGAATTTGGTTTCAAATGAAGAAGCGCCAAATCATTTAGATTGGATAAGAAGATTGTATGAATATTTGGAACCGTTTGTGTCAAAGCTGCCAAGACAGGCATATTTCAATTATAGAGACCTTGATTTGGGTGTGAACCAAGGGAACTCGGGCTATGAAAATGCAAAATCCTGGGGTCTGAAATATTTCAATGAAAACTTTGAAAGGCTAGCACTAGTTAAGAGCAGGGTTGATCCTGGAAATTTTTTCAGGGATGAGCAGAGCATTCCACCATTGTAGAAGATGGCAATCACATAATAAATTACTAAAATTTGGAAACATATATGGGCATAGGCATATCACTAATAATGATCTGTAGTTGTTCTACGGTCCTGATTCCGGAATAGGTTTTGCTTTGTAAACTCTAAGTGGATTTTCAGAAAGGAATGTACTACTGCAAGATTAATTTTCATTTGATCTGTTGTAGTAGCTTATAGCATTAACTAACTAAATTTAACAGTTGACTTTTGGCTCTCACCGAACTTTTAAGATAACGATTTTTCTGAGGTTTTGCCGCTATTGCTCTGCTAGGGACAATAAGACAGACACTTAGAAACAGGGTTTGACAACAGATAAAATCATTGATATAAAAACACTAAAAATATTGTAGGTTGTTAATGTTAAGCAGTTGAAGACAACAATGGGACTCGGGAAAATTATTAACTGACGATTGAGTTCCACCGGTATGCTAAAATCACTACAAAGAAAATACAGAAATTACTAGCAGTTAAATTTTGACGGTGTTAATAAATTGTTATAATGTATATAATTATGTCAACTAATTTTAACAGTTACAAATTTTTTAATTTTTAATTTGAAATTTATTAATATTTACTCCTCTGCACTCAATTCCTCTTAGTTTAGACTTCTAACTCAATTCCTTTTAGTTTAGACTTCTAGTTCAAAAGTTTCTCATTTCAAGCTTTGAGATGCATCTCTCTCAGTTGTTCTTAACTTGAATGTCATATTTGTTGGCAATGATGATAGAGGTGGCCTTATTCAAGAATAATTTATGCTCCAGGACGCCTTCAAAATATGAGATTTCAAGGGAATCCCTAATTGAAATGATCACATAGGTTTTCTCATCTTAATTTGGCGTCGCATAATTTTTCCTTGAAGAGTTGTTGGTGGCGATTCATATTATTGGTGGCGACAAACACTGCACGTGACCAGTGGCGAGCGACCCCTGCGAACGTGACCGCAACCAGGACTAGGAAACAACGACCACTACGATGAAAAGTGCAGCACATACACTGAGAAGGGATGAGAGATATGAGATGAACTTGTGAGAAGAAATAAGGAGTGAGAAAGAAGACGTAAGTTTCTCTTTTACCTTAGAGTCCATCAAGTTTGATTCCAATTCTACTGACGTGAATAGAATAATTAATTCATGACATTGTTCTAGCTCTGCATTACTTACAATTTACATTAGAGGCTAGAGACAAAGACAATGACATCTACTTTACGGGATGTTAATGTGGCCAGTGATGCACTATCATGAATGTTTTTGTCTAAGTTTGTGAAATCTTTATGTAGTTTAAGGCTCATTTGTGGTTATTAGGCCTAGGGTTTTTGGGGATAATTTTTTTTCCTCTTTCTGTATGTCAATTTGGTTTATCTATTGTTAGAAAAAGTTATTTAATGTATTTACCAGAAAGCTAAGTTTGTGTATTTGCTTTTTTCTTATAGGAAGTGTACTAATTATACCCTTATTTATTTGTCACTCTATAATAATCCTTTATAGGATATTAAAAGTATGTTGATTGAATAGATCACTTAAGCTTTTTCCATTCAATCTCAATTTTAACTCCCGTCTTTTGATTCACTACTAGAAAATATGCTTTCAACGTCGCTGTTTAATGTCGGTTACATCTTAAACGACGTTGAATATGCTTTCAACGTCGGTTGGTCAACAACCGACGTCGAAAGTCGAATTTTGACACATTCTACGTCGTTTTAGCATGCCCGACGTGGAAAGTAGGCTTTCAACGTCGGTTATGCCCTCACCCGACGTTGAAAACCCTTCTGCATGGGCTTTCAACGTCCGGTGTGGGTATAACCGACGTTGAAACCCCAAAACTCACACACTTTAGATAGCGGTTCCTTTATAACCGCTATCTAATATACACTTTAGATAGCGGTTATAAGGGAACCGCTATCTAATGTACACTTTAGATAGCGGTTATAAGGGAACCGCTATTATATCCTCTCAATTATGATCGCTCATTTTAAGTTATGATCGATCAGGATCTTATTTCGCTCGAGCGAGAGTAGTGTCACTCAAGCGAAATACAACCCGAGAATGTCATTTTTGTGCAGGGGGCGATTTGCTCGAGCGAGAAGAGTGTCGCTCAAGCGAAATATAACCCGAGAATGTCATTTTTGTGCAGGGGGCGTTTCGCTCGAGCGAGAAGAGTGTCGCTTAAGCGAAAAACATTTTAGATAGCGGTTAACCTGGAACCGCTATTATATTGTTTCAATTATGATCGATCAGAATGCGATTATGACCGATCAGAACTATTTTAATCGATTAAATCTCGTTTCAATCGATTAAAACAATTTCTAGCACAATGCGTTTTAATCGATTAAAACTTGTTTTTATCAGTTAAAATAACTTGAAAAGTTTTACGAGAAAGTTTTGCAGTATTTCAATCGATTGAATCGCGAAACAATCGATTAAATCAGGAATCAAGAACGTATTAATGGATTAAAAGAAGTTTTAACAGATTAAAACTGCACTTTTAACAGATTAAAAGAATCTTTTAATAGATTAATTAAACCAGCAGTTTTGAAAATCTTCTATAAAAACAGTTTGGCTTGAACTTTTTTAACATACATTGAATATATCATCTTTTACACATCCTTGAGCAATCAATCAATCGCTAATTGCGACCGAATTAAAGTGGGGGTTGGCTCTAGGTTAGAGTTCGACGTCACTAGGGTATGCGTTAGGGTTCGAGCTCCGCTGGGTTTGCGTTGGGTTTCACGAGCATGACAATTGGGTTTGGCTTGACATTGGGGTTCGATGTCGCCAGAGTTGGGGTTCGGCCTCGAGTTCGTCGAGGTTGAGGTCGGGGTTGAGATTCGAAGTTGATTGGGTTTTGATTGGGTGTTTTGGTCACTCGGATTTGAGATTCAAGGTCACTGGGTTGGATTTCAAGCTTGAGGTCGAGTCATGCATGCTTGGGTTAAAGATCTTCGAAGCTGGAATCGGATTTGAGATTCAAGGTCACTGGGTTGGATTTCTACAAGTGATATTTACACGGATATATATATTTATTTGTATATAAATATAATTTATTTGTATGTTATTATCAAAAAATTCAAGTAGTTTAGTGGTTGGAGTATCGACCTCCAACTCTAAAGTACTCGGGTTCGAATCCTGCCAATGACAATTCTCTTAAAAATTAAAAAACTTCTAAAAAATATAATATAAAGAGATGGAGGACCTAATAAAAATATAATATGAAGAGAGAGGAGACTTCTAGATAAATAAAAGGGGGTAAAGGGGTTGTAAATAAATAACCGCTATCTAAAGTCGACTTTCAACGTCGGTTTATTAGAACCGACGTTGAAAGTTACGACTTTCAACATCGCCTGATACAACGTTGAAAGCCTTCCGAACCGACGTTGAAAGCTTTATTTGTAGTAGTGATTTTGTCTTTGTGAAGGTATTAAAAGTTTACACTTTATAGGGTTTCTAGTAATAAATGCCATTTTGATACTTAAGTTTACACTTTATAGGTTTCTAGTAAATTTTGATACTTAAGTCATCTAGTTAGAAAAATTTTCTTCCTCTTCTTTCTTCAATTTTCCTTGTGTTTCAAGCCTATGTATTGTTTATATAATGATTTTGATTCATATGAATTTTGAAATTCATTGAAAAAAACAATATATATACTATTAATTTATTACTCCCGTTTGCTCCCTTTTTCCCTTAATTAGAAAAATAGAAAAAAAATCAGGTAGGACTCGAAATACTTAGTTAATCTTTGCATTTTTTATGTAACAGGTGGGAATAGGAAAATTATTTGGGTGGAAATTAAATTCAGTAAAGTAAAAAAAATCAAGTAGGACTTGAAATACTTAATTAATCTTTGCATTTTTTATGTAAGCGGTGGGAAGAGAAAATTCATTTTTTATGTAAGTGGTGGGAAGAGAAAAATCATTTGGGTGGGAATTAAATTAAATAAAGTGTGTGTCTTTGCATTTTTTATGTAAGCGGTGGGAAGAGAAAAATCACTTGGGTGAGAATTAAATTAAATAAAGTGTGTGTGTGTGCGTGCACGACGTGCGTGTGCACGTGTATGTGCGTGTACGTGCGTCTGTGTTGACGTGTGTGCGCGTGCGTGTGTGCGTGGGGGCGTGGACGTGGGTGTTTAAAGTCTAAAGAAAAATTACAACAAGACAAATCTGTGACAAAAACTAACAAAGGAAATTAGCGACTGAAATTTATTGTAATAAGTCTTTTGTGACGGAAATGGTTCGCAACTATTTGGTTTTGTGATGGATTTAGAAAACTTTCCGTCACAACTTGATGACTCCTTTCCGATTTGTATTTATACTCTTCTTGTGTCTGGCTTTGGCTTCTAAGCTCCTTCAAAGACAACCTTATCCTTTCTTCTTAAGGACACCTAAGATGCTACCTTGAAGAAGAAGTTAGCTTCCTCGAGGACAAGGAAAAACCACGACAGTTATCTTGTCTTAAGAGCTTTGAGATGCAAATAATAAAAACACAAGAAAAGCTTATACAAGGAATGGATACAATCAAATGATTAAATTTATTGTTTGACAAAACTTAAGAAATTCAAAAAAAGACAAGCAAGAAAATTTGGCAAATTTTAAAAGAAGACACTCAAAAGAAGCCTAAGAATGGATTACAAAAATAAAAGACTCAAGTTGAATCACTTATAAGCCCAATTTAAGCTTGGTCGAATTATACACTCCCTTAGCCTCTTTTAATACATGCAATTTTCAATTCCATTATTCTCTTAACGGGTTTGGGACTTAATTTATTTTGACTAGGTCTCGACTTTTCTCTTTTCTTTTCTTTTCTTTTCTTTTCAACTTTACAATTTCAATTTTTTTGTTCTTATGAGACTTAGCCTTTTTTTTTTCACTAATTCAATTTCAATTCAAATTTTATGGTATTATTTTCACATAAGTCCGAACATTGTCATGACATATTATCAACAATTGATTCAACTTGCAAAATTCAAAAGAAGTCTAGACTAGTCTCGATTTGTACAAGAATTTTTATGCTTAAAATTTTGCCAATGATCTAATAGCAAAAGAATACTCAAATGTACAAACCACACATACACATAATTGTTTTGGTTCCTAGCATAAACTCAGTTTCAATTTTTTTCAACAAAATTTTTGTTTTTCAGACACATGTGGGACAACTTCTATGGAATTATGGACATATAAGGACTAAACATGATTATCTAATACAACATGGAAGATTATAAAATTGAAAGCTAAGTAAACAAAATTTTATGGCTACTCATACAACATATTAAGAATTTCCTAAACATACAATTGATTCATAAAAGAAACTAAGCAATGAATCAATTACAAGAGAAATATTAAAGACGCAAAAACCGACTACATATGACACAAAAAACTCAAGCAAGTGCATATAAGACGGAAATTTAAAGACAAGAAAGAAGGAAAGATGAAGGTACTTATCTCTTGAAGACCTTCATGCCTAGCTCATGATACCAAATTGATAGAAATAATCTCTTCTTCCACCAAATAGACACCCAAGTTCGCACCTCAAGCTCTTAAGTGACAAAAATTGTTCCCCAAGTCTCAAAAGAAGACTTGGCACTAGCTTCTTCAAGGAAGGTTCCTTGTTTAGGAGACAAGGAGAAAAAAAATCTCCAAAGGACACTTGAAGTCAAGCCAAAACGGGGTACATGCAAAATTGCAAGTTCCACACACTAAACTTGGATTTCATTTAAATGTGTTAAAGAAGCTACACAAGGAGTTATATTTATAGTGTTTCTCCTCTCATCCACTTCAAGTATTTAGAGATGTGAGACTTATTCTACTTTTATGTGAGGCATCGAAAATGGGCTCTAGAAGTCCCACATTCTTCTTTTCTATGTTTTCCTAAGAGTTTATATATCATATTGAACACCATGGGTTACAAGCACTTGTGTTGGTGTAGCCTTGACTGTGTGAATGGGTCTTTCCTGTGAGCTTGGTGCAATCACCATGGTGGCTTGACCGAGTGACTTTTGGATGCACCTTCTTCCTCAAGTTTATATGCTCCAAAGCTTCTTTGAGGTGCATCTAAAATGACAAAGAGGAGAGCTTGGTCGTGTGGCAGTCCTTGGTGTGCTCCTATGACTCGGTTGGTCTTGGTTTGGTGGCTCCATAGACATGGTGTGCGTCTTAACTGTGTGTGCATCTTTGGGACCCTACAAAAGGAAGAGAATGATTTATTCAATACAAATTTATTTTGAGGCGTTCAAATTAAGCTCCACAAGAGGAGTACTCGTGGTGCTGTCTCATTCTCCTCTATCCTTCAGGGCCCTAGTGATAGGCCCTTTCAAATGTTATTACTTTCCATTTATATAGAGAATATCAAAGACGTCTCAAATTTTTACATAGATTTTTATGAAGGATGACATTGACTCCTTTAACTAGCGACATAGGTATGTGGAAATTTTTTTACATCTTTCCAAAATAGTTTGTTAACCTTTTTCGAATATTGTTATTATGGTAACATTTCCTTTCATACAAGGAGTAGACAACCCATTAAGGAAGATATTACAAATGTGTTGCATGGCTTAAGCCAAAGATCTTTATTTTAAGGTTATTTTTGTCTTAACTTAATGCACTTTGATTCTTCTACCATGTTATTGTCGAGGAAATTTACGAATATAAAAATAATATTTTATAATGACTTATTATAATAATTCTAATCAACTCGTCATAATTAATTGGATAATGATAATTTTGTAATTAAAACTCACTTTTTATGACAGTTCAATTTTAAACTCGTCATAATAAGTATTTTTTTATAGTAGTTCAATTTTGAAATAACATAATAAATAATTTTTTATATTATTTTAAAATTAAACTATCATAATAAATATTATTTATGTTAGTTCAATCTTAAACTATCATAATAAATATTAATATTGATTTAATTTTCAACCATCATAATAAGTGATTGTCAATTTTAAATATGTACACTTTCTATATCACTATAAAATTGAATTATCATAAAAGTTTTATAAATTTAAAATTCACAAATTCAAATTACACTCTTCCTCTTCTCATTTTTCAACTTTTCCCATTACATGTCATATAATTCTACTCTTTATCTTCATCATTTTATCTCATTGTCTCCTCGTCACCTTTTGTCTTCTTCACGCTTACATTATCACTTTCAAAAACCTTACTTCTTCCTCACTTATAACAAATATAATATTTAGAAGTATTATCTCATTTTTCTTCTTTAGTTTATATTTGTTATTTAGTTTAATAGAATGTTCTATGATAATTATCTCAAAAATCAATATAATAGATATTTTATGTCATAGATCTGAGTCAAAATATAATAATCCTCGTAAATAAAACACGGAGGGAGATCTTGAAGTATTATTGACATCGTCACATTAGTAGTCAATTACTTGAGGTCAGAAATATCAATCTTGTATTATAATTTCATTATATTTTATATATTTAGCATTCAAATAAATTTTGACACTCGAAAACATTGAGCCAGTATCCGCTGCTGCTCCGGAGTAATGGCATATATGATTGTTATTAACTATTTTGTTTTTCATAAAATAAAACCTAAAATATCCATAATTTATTTTATTTTGAATTGTAGATACTTAATGGTTGAGAATTAATTAATAAGTACAGGAATGCTTTGCTCGTTTGTGAAGAAGTTTTGAGGATCAACCTTGGTCTTCACTGTTGCCAATCTCTTGAAGTTGTTATTGAAATACTTGACACCCCAAATGCTGGCTTGGTCATAGCTTGTGTGGTCATTGTTATTCATCCCAATGTCAAGGTCTCTGTAATTCAAATATGCAGCTCTGGGAGACTCTGAAACATAGGGTTCCATATATTTATACAATCTTCTGATCCAATTCACGTGTCTTTGCGCTGCCTCATCCCCTTCCAGTGGCGGATCTTCTTGGGAGTTGAGGGCCGTGGCTCCAAAGTTTAGTAACTCCCATGTAATTAATGATTTTACTTCTAAACATAATGAGTATTTAATATATTTACTTGTATATTTACAATTTTATCCTCCGAGCCTCTCCTCAGTTTTGTAACTTTCATATAATTTATGATTTTGTTTCCTCAAACTTAATGATAATTTAATATATTTAAGTATATATCTACAATTTTATCTTTTCAACCTTTCATATTCTTTCTTCCTTTTATATTTATTTATTATTTATTAATAATATATTATTTGGCCCCCCAAGATCAATGGTCAAGACCCGGCAGTGTCCCCTTCCTCTTGCCAAGAGACCGAATAGAGAATATGAAATATGTATCCAGATCTATGAGGGAATGGAATTTCAGATTCCGAAATCTCATCCATTCTGCCTCCGTAAGGAACGAATTGAACAGCACCACGAACCTCGTTGTCATAAAGAAAGTGACATAACCCTCTTAACCCTTCAAGAGGAATGGGTTTTCTCCCATAATCAGATTTTCCTTTGAAGCTCATACGAAATTGAGTTCTGTTCAGCAATACTTCGGGGGATTCATTGCCTGCAGATCCAACCAACCCAGCATTCATGAAGACAACTGAACCTATCCAACTCGTCTCAGTACAGTCTTCTCTGACCAAACCCAACTCTGGGAAGCTCTTTCTCATCAAGGGAATAAGCTGTTGTACATCTCCGAGAAACGTGGACACAAATGTGGCTTGTATTGTTAGCTTCCCATGTTGACTTGAATTTACCCTTTTCATGCCCATCCAAACGCTTATGCGCTCGTCCAATTTATTCGCCACAAGCTGCCACCTTTGAATTATCTCAGTGGCGTTCTGCTCCAATGTCCTTGCTACTTGGAACACTGTCACTTTTGACGGAACTGGAACTAGATTTATTTTCCAAGCAACGATCACTCCAAAGCTTGCTCCTCCACCTCCTCTAATGGCCCAAAACAGATCCTCACCCATGCCTTTTCGATCAAGAAGATTACCCTGCACATCTATTATGTGAGCATCTATGGTATTATCAGCGGCAAGACCGTACTTACGCATCAAGAATCCATAGCCACCTCCACTGAAGTGGCCACCAGTTCCCACAGTGGCGCACAAACCTGCTGGGAACCCTAATGTTTTGCTTTTCTGGCTAATGCTGTAGTAAAGTTCACCAATGGTTGCCCCAGCTTGAACCCATGCAGTTTGGTTATCTACATCCACTTTGATTTCTCGAAGGTACATAAGGTCAATGAGGACAAAAGGAACCTCGGCAACGTACGAGAGACCCTCGAAATCGTGGCCTCCACTTCTTGTTCGAATTTGCAAGTCATGTTGTTGGGAGCAGATTATGGTGGCTTGAATGTGGGAAACGACCTGTGGTGTGACAATGACAAGGGGTTTTGAGCTTGAGTTTAAGAACCTATTATTTTTAATGGAAATATCTAGTATAGACGAGTACGAGGAGGAGTTATTTTGTATGTAGACAATCTTGGAGATTGAGGTGTCGTTACGGTGAAAGTTGTGAACACATTGAATAAACTTTTCATGAGTATCTGTGCAAGAAGATGTAAATGAAAGCAAGAGCTCTATGGCTACAACCATAAAACATGAGCTTAGACGCATCATTAGTTGATCAATGGTTGGTGTTTTGCATGTAAAAAGGTGCTTTGAGAAATGAGAAATCTCAAATTTATATCACCATACACGTTATTGGAATTTTTCTGCAAATTTATAGATGAAAAAATTTCAACGTAGGCTGACCAAACTCGTATTTCCCGTGTATGCTCGCAGTTGTACAGTGGAATCTTCAATTAGGATCCATATGGAAGCAATACTCTTCAACAATATCGAACTATCTCTTTATCTTTGAATAATTTATTTTTCTTTTAAATCATTGCATTTTTAAGTATTTTTCAACATTTTCGTTATACTTGTTAATTAAAAATTATAAATAACGAATATGATTTGAAGTTAAAAAGTATAGATAAAAAATTTAAAACTAAAATTATAGCATTTAAGTTATCCCAAAAATTTTATTCTCTATATTACTTATGAGTAAACTAATCATTTATTTTTAAGAAGTTAATATTCAATATTATACTAAAATACATAAATATGTCAATCAATTATATAAAAAATCTTAATATTACTTTGTAATTAATTATATAAAAAAAACTATATTCTTTATTATCTTTAAGTCAATGGACTCTAAAAATGTTAATAGACAGCTTGGCCCAACATATTTAAGGAGAGAGCAGATAAACGGTTAGGTATTACCAGAAAAAAAAATTAAAACTTTTAATACAATTGACTTTCTTATAGTTAAAATTATAAAAGCATTTTTATGTTTATTAATTTGTCTTTTTTTTTAAATAAATCAATGTAAAAATACCAAAATTTATGGTGTTATTACTGAACGGACTTAAAATACTCAACTTGTGAGATTTGTAATTGGTGATAATTAAGGGGGTGGCGGTGGAGGAGTGATAGCAGATGAGTGATTTTTTTCATCTTCTTCTCTTTTGATTTTTTTTTTTTCACGTTGGGTTTTTCGGTGTTTCTTATTTTTCTTCTTTTATGTCTTGTTAAGTTCCTCTTGTTAGATTTTCTTTATCTTGGTTTACCTGGAAGTTCAACAATAACAATTTAATAAAAATATTTATATATTAGTGTGATTGAGATTTTTAATAATAACCACCATTTCAATTTTAATATAAAATAAAAACATAAAACACTAACCTCAATTATTAAGTTGACATTGAAATGTTTCAATCTAATAGGAGAAAAATATTTAGAATCATCAATAAATCATAATTATGGTATCACGGTTGCTTATCATAACTAAAAAATGCTTAAGAAATTCACTTAATAGTTAGTATTACAATCATTCAAAAAAAATAAATTCATACGCCAGAAAAATGAATCACCAGATAATATATAAATGAGTTTTAGGTCGGATTATAAGAGTCCCACATAAAAAAAGTTTTTTAATTAAAAAAATTGTCTTTAAATAAAAACTAATTTATAAAAAACATATTTTGGACTAATATATTGAAGATCATAGAAAAATTAATGTAGCATGTGGATTTATTAAAGTGCCATAGCATCTTATTTATTTATTTCAGGCACTATTTACTGGTCAATGGTTGATTTTATTATTTGCTTTTAACTATTCGTAGAGTAGATAACATCATTTTTTTCAAAAGTTGTCATATTCGTCCTTTAATCCATTAAACATATAATAAAAAATGTTTTTTAAAGTATAATAAATAACTATTATATATTAATGTTAGATTAGTAAGAGTTGTTATCTATGTGATCTTTCATATAGAATGGTTAAGAATTATTATAAATATCTAATATGAGTAATTTGTGAATAATTTTGAGAAAGATTTTTTATACAATATTTTAATTCTTTTTTATTAAAAATGATGTAATATTATCATATACATTAATTATATTAGGTATGATTTAAGTATTAGTCATATCATATATACCAAAAAAAGAGTATATATTTTTGCACGCAATGGTTAAAATTGATTGTAAAATATTAATACACAATTATTTTGACCCGAAAAAATCTTTATTTTGGTGACGAAATAACGAAGTTGAGACCGAATTCGGGTGTTGCGCTGCCATGGGAGTTGATTTCAGTCGAGGCAATTTGATTGGATTTATTCCATCTTTTTCTTTTTTTCACTTCATGTAAAAATATAAATAAACTAAATTATTAATTTATATTTAAATAGTAAATTATATTCAAGTATTCAGTAATGGTTATTGAGCTTTCTATAAGCATTGTTACGCAAATGGCTACAAGATATGGTTCTTGTTTAACCACAAAGGGCATCTTGTAGCAGAAAGATCTTACATGAACAGGAATTTGCAGATATTCTGGAGAGTTAAGAAGAGTCATGATCCCCAAAATTTTACAACTCTTGTGTCATTTATAATTTTGGTCTCCTCAGATTTAATGAACATTTAATATATTTATATGTATATTTACAATTTTATTCTCTCAATCTCTCCTCAATTTTGTAACTCTCATGTAATTTAATATTTTGTTCTCTTCAAACTAAATGATCATTTAATATATTTAAGTATATATCTACAATTTTATATTTTCACCCTTTCATCTTTTTTTTATATATTTATTTATTATTTAGCCCAAAATGAATGATAGATCTGCCACTCTGAATAGGTATCATGTTGATGAATAAGATAAGTCATAATAAGAAAATAGGTTATTAGCACGGGCCAAAAATAGATACTAAAAACTAAAATCAAAATTTATTCGTCAAATTCATGTAAATATTGAAGTCCACTCTAAAAATATGGTCACAATTCAGTTGTAGAATTAGACACAATTTTGTGTCGGTTGAGCCAACACAAAATATTGTTTTTATAAAAAAATGTTTAAATTTTCTTTTTTTCCAAAGGCCCAAAAATAATATACAACAATTGCACAAATGATCAAATATAAGGACATGTTTTATTGATATCCATAGATGTCCCATCTTTGTTTGAGAGTCTTCGGATCTAAGCATAGAAAAGAAATAGGGAAAGGTAGATTATTCAGTTAGTCAGGATCAATATTACATTATTTTGCCTTTCATTAGAACTAAATCCAATAGATAAAAAATATTCACAAATTCTAACCAATATATTCCACTAATACTTTAAAGAACATTTTCAGAGCACCACACATAGATATATTCAAGTTACTATTCGTGTTAGGGTTCAAACAGTAACCTACGCAAGAATGAGGAACTTGAGATTGAATATTGGAATGGAGAAAATGTGATTGAAGCTTGATGGTAGAGATTCCAGTTTGCTTTAATCTATTTGTTCTACTGCCTGATGCATTGGAGGATCATACCGTATAAGAAATATATTTCCTTTTTTATGGTTTTTCTTTTTATGAGTGGAGTTTAACACGTGTAGAAAGCCTTAATTTATTGTTCTCAAAGCCACTGTTAGTGTTTTGTAAGGACATATATCTTGAGGTAAATTTGTTGTTTTAGTTTTTTTTTTTTTTTTTTCACTTGACTAAAAACTTTCTTTTTAAAGGGTTGAGGTTGTTTTAGTAGTTTAAAGAGAAACAGTTGTAAATAAAGTATAATTTAATTAGTACTTTAAAGAAAAATAGTGGTTAAATATAATAAAGTTTAAAATTTTTACTTTTTGAGATAAAATTAGTTTAAATAGAATTCTTACATTTTAAACTTTATTTTTAAATAATTGTCATTTTTTTAAACTCTAAAACTTCTTTATCCAATTTTTATCTTTGTTTATATTTAAGTACATGCTCCTAGCGACAAGATAACATTTTCATCCGATGATAATCTTAAATATAATGATTTTCCCTCAATTTTAGAGTATTTTTACAAATTTAGGATTAAGATTTTGCATGTGAGTCTTCGAGTCATGCACGTGACCTTGTGAAGTAAAAATAAATTTTGATTAGTTTAGAAATATTGTAATAGGTTCGACTTGTTAATTAAGATTTGAAAGTGATGAAGATCTTAGTGAAATACTCTGGCAAATATCTCATTGATTTGATGAAGTCAAAGATGGAAGTCAACATTGCAACGGTCAACAAGTCACTCGGATAATAGAGTTAGAAGATTTAGTGTGTCTACGTAAGGCTTAGGTAAAACCACTTTATCTTTTCTGCCGCATGAAGTTTCTTCACTCAAATGATTTTACAAAATGCCTCTAAAATCGTTTTAAACAATTAAAAACAAAGCATTTTGACAAAAGCATTCTTAATAATGTTTTTAACTGATAAAGTTTTGAAAGAACCGATTAAAATCTCTTAGAATGTTCAAAGAAGTAATTTTACAGTATTTTAATCGATACAAATTACTTTTAATCGATTAAAACCCTTTAGAAATCATTATGACCGATCAGATTTAAAATATGGGCGATCAGAACTTATTTCAATCGATTAAAACACGTTTCAATCGATTAAAATCACTTAAAGGGTCAGAATGATCGATCAGAATGCAGTTATGATCGATCGAATTGAATTATGACCGATGAGATCTGTTTCAATCGATTAAAACGCATTTCAATCGATTAAAACAACTTGGAAAAATTTTGTGCGAGTTTCAATCGATTAAAACGCGTTTCAACCGATTAAAACAACTTGGAAAAATTTTGTACAGTAGTTTTAATCGATTAAAACTTCTTTTTATCAGCTTAAAATAACTTGAAAAGTTTTATAAGAAAGTTTTGCAATATATCAATCGATTAAAACACGAAACAATCGATTGAATTAACTTAGAAGATTTCTTGAAAAGTGTTTTAATTGATATAACCGTTGCAGTATCAGCTAAAACAATTCTGTTAAAGAATCAAGAACGCATTAATGGATTGAAAGGACTTTTAACAGATTGAAACGGCTATTTTAATAGATTAAAACAAATTTTCAACAGATTAATTAATGCAGCAGTTTTTGAAAATACTCTTTAAAAACAGTTTTGCTTGAACTTTTTAAACAGACTTTGAATATCAGTTTTTACACATCCTTAAGCAATCATTCAAAGCAAACCTTAGAACTTTTTCAAGAAAGATTCGCAACAATTTTTTGAAGTTATTTTGAAAATCTTTCTTGAGGCATATTGCTTTTCTTTGAAGAAGAAACTCACTGCAGAATTGCATAGACTGGTTTGATCTTTCTAGTTTCTTCTTTGTCAATTCTTTTTCATTCTTTTGTATTGTGTTGTGCCTGGAATTTGGGCACAAGTTTCTCTGCAGCTGGAAGTTGGTTGCGAAGGTTATCAAGAACTGGAATTTGGTTCTTGGTGGAGAGGTTGAGTACAGGAACTGGAATTTGGTTCTTGTACTGTGTGGTGCCTGGAATTTGGGTACTGGTTTCTCTGCAGCTGGAAGTTGGTTGCGGAGGTTATCAAGAGCTGGAATTTGGTTCTTGGTGGAGAGGTTGAGTACAGGAACTGGAATTTGGTTCTTGTACTGTGTGGTGTCTGGAATTTGGGTACTGGTTTCTCTGTAGCTGGAATTTGGTTGCAGAGGTTATCAAGAGCTGGAATTTGGTTCTTGGTGGGGAGGTTGAGTACAGGAACTGGAATTTGGTTCTTGTACTGTGTGGTGCCTGGAATTTGGGTACTGGTTTCTCTGCAGCTGGAATTTGGTTGCAGAGGTTATCAAGAGCTGGAATTTGGTTCTTGGTGGAGAGGTTAAGTGCAGGAACTGGAATTTGGTTCTTGTGTTAGATTAGGTGTAAGATTGTTGAATCTGTAAAACATTTAATCTAGTGGAACCCAGCTGGAATTTGGCTGGAGACTGGATGTAGCCCTGGTATTGGGTGAACCAGTATAAAATACCGGTGAAATCTTTCTTAACCTTTCTCTCTTTAAATTCAGTTGCTGCGCTTATTTTGATTGATTGCTTTGTGATTCAAGAATAGATTAGTAAACTTAATTTTCGAATTAGATAATCTGTGATTTGCGAAAAACTATCAAAGATCAATTCACCCCCCCCCTCTTGATCTAAAACTACTTTTCTAACAAGATTTTCTGCGAGCAAAATTTGATATCATGAGAAATTGAGGATTTTGAGCTTTCAAACTTGAGAATACTAAAATTGGAAAGTAAGGAAAGTTAGTAATAAATTTCTTAACACCCTAAGATAAATTATTTAGACTATGATGGTGACTTGGGCACATTGCCCGATTTGCATGGAGTTGATTGTAAATTGATATTATTAATATTTGTATATGATTAAATGAGTTGAATAATATTATATGGGAAGGATGCATATAAAATGTTAAGGTAAACTAACAATATTTGGACTAGATATTACATATTTTATAAGGTGGTGATGTAATAGTCTCAAAAGATAGTGACTAATGCTTATAAGGAGGTGATGTAATAGAGGCTGCAAATTTTGCTCAAACATCAGTTGGTCACTCAAGTGAAATGTGCAAAAGAGGAAATGACTCCTCTCGGGTGCATTTTGGCTTAAGCAAAAATATCTCAATCAAGCGAAAAAACTCTCAATGAACGAGACTTGTCTCTAATGTATTTTCTCTCAAGTGAAAAAATATCTTTTTATTATTTTTATTGTGAACTAACATTATCTTAAGTCATGTGATGTAATTGTGTTTTCAAAGAATAATATATTGAAGTTATTAGTATCTAAACTTATTATGTATAATCAAGTTGATAAATGTGTAATACATTGACAAAATTTCATTATAATTCGATATTTTGAGATCAATTAATAACAAATATTTAAAGGTATTTAGAATATATCATATATAATTGCGAACGGATAAAAAGAGACAAAAGATTCTAAAAAGTTTGATTTTTGTACTAAGATAATATTTACTTAATGCGACACATTTTATACTCTCTTAAGGGACATTTTGTTATATAGAAATTTACAAATAAATTAAAAAAAATGGGCTAGAAAAAATATCAAAATTAAAAACAAGAATTGAAAATTAAGATGGTAAAGAGAGAAGAGGATTGAAAGACTGGAATATTGAAAGTAATGAAAGATAGGATCTCGAATGAGAAAAATCGAGGATTTAAGAGAAGACAAAATGAAAAAATCAAATAATTAAAGGGTATGGTAAAGCAGAAGATTGAGGACATGAAGAGGAGGGAAAAAGAAAAAAAATTGAATAATCATATAATAAAATCAAATCAAATAATAAAAAGAGAAAAAAAGATATAAAAAAAAAGTTGTAATATCAAGAGAAATACATAGTACTTATAATTTAATTATTTGACAAAAGTGGTTATAACTCTTGTATATACTAATGAGACTAGTTAAAAGAAAAAAATGATTAATAGAAAATAAAAATATTTTTTTATTATCTTTATTTTATTTTATTTTTTAGACATTACAAAAAATAATAAATATGAATAAGATTAAAAAGTTTAAAAAAGTGTGATAAATTATATTACAATACTTATATTATAAAAAAACATAATAAAATGTTTTTTCAATAAAATTCTTAATAATTTTGTTCACCAGATTGATTTTGTATATCAATTTCTTTCTTATCCTTCGTAATTTAACAATTTACCTTTTTCAAGACTATTTTTGGGAATTATTCTTTCTACGAACTTACATTTACAGTAATCTACTTTTTCCGATAATCTACATTTTCATATTTTAAGAATTTTCAAACACAATCTAAATTAAAAAATTATTGTTTGCTGGTCTAAATAGAAAAAACTTCCGTATTAAAACATTTTCCCTGGAAACACTACGACCACCGTTAATAAAAGAGAAATACATTGACTGATAAAAATTAGTAATTTGAATCTTTTAAACAATTTTGACGGTCAACTTTAGGTTAAAATAATATATTTTATTTTTAAAAACTATTTAAACAGTTCTTATTGAATATGTTCGAATACGACTTTAACATTAATATTAAAAAATTTAAAAATAATGGTGTCATGTTATTTTGAAATAAAAATTCGTGCTATAATACTACTTCTTAAAAAAAGAAAAAAATTGTATTGATGACACAATCGTGTTTCAAAAGGGTCAAAGTCATGATATTTTAAATTTTATCCATATGGGTATAATCCATGCAAATGTACACCATTTACCTAAAAAAAGTCCCACAATAGTAACTTAAGAATATTGATGAATAATGCTGCATTTTTATTTATACACGTAGTAGTAAAAAAATAATTATACATTGAATAGCCTATAAGAAGATAATAAAGTAAAACAAAAATATTGTTTAACAAGCCAAAGAACCAATGAAAAATCAGCACCAAAGTAAAATAATGAAGCAGCTTATTTTATGATGACATTTTCTGCGCCCATGGAAAATCTATTTGCGTCCCTTCGATAAAAGAGAAGGTATGCTTTGTTCGTTTCTGAAGAAGTTCTGAGGATCAACCTTGGTCTTCACTCTTGTCAATCTGTTAAAGTTGTCATCGAAATACTTAATGCCCCAAATCCTGGCTTGGCTGAAACTTGTGTAACCATTGTTATTAACCCCAATGTCAAGGTCTCTATAATTCAGATATGCAGCTCTGGGAGACTTTGAAACATGAGGTTCCATGTATTTGTACACTCTCCTAATCCAATTTATGTACCTTTTTGAGGCCTCATCCCCTTCCTCTTGCCAATTCACCCCGTACTGAATGTGGAATATGTTGCCAGATCTGTATGGGAATGGAGTTTCAGACCCTGAAATCTCATCCATTCTGCCTCCGTAAGGAGTGAATTGAACAAAAGCATCTTCAGCCTCATCTTCGTAAAGCAAGGGCCACAACCCCTCTAACCCAACATCAGAAATGGGATCTCTCACATAATCAGATTTTGCTTTGTAGAACTGAACACCATTGAGTTGAGTTCTGTTCAGCAAAACATCAGTGGATTGACCGCTTGTGAATCCAGCCATGTAGAGAACTGATTCTATCCAACTCATCTCAGTGCAGTCTTCTCTCACCAAACCCAACTCTGGGAAGCTCTTTTGCATCAAGCGAATGAGCTCATCTACACCTCCCAAATACAAGGATTCAAACTGAGCTTGTACTGTTAGATTCCCATTTTGACTAACCCTTCCCATGTTGATCCTAATGGTTAGGCCCTCGTCAAGTTTATCTGCCACAAGCTGCCACTTACGAATAATCTCAGTTGCATTTTCTTCCAAGGTCCTTGGAACTCGGAACACTGTCACTGTTGATGGAACAGAAACTAGTTTTATCTTCCAAGCCACGATGACTCCAAAGCTTGCTCCACCACCTCCTCTAATGGCCCAAAATAGATCATCACCCATTGTTTCTTTATCAAGGAGATTAGCATTCACGTCAACTATGTGAGCATCTATGACATTATCAGAAGCAAGACCATACTTACGCATCAAGAATCCATAGCCACCGCCGCTGAAGTGGCCGCCAGTACCCACAGGAGGGCACACACCTGCAGGGAACCCTAGTGTGTTACTTTTCTGGCTAATCCTGTAGTAAAGTTCACCAATGGTTGCCCCAGCTTGAACCCATGCAGTGTTGTTTTCTACGTCAACTTCGATTTCTCGAAGGTTTATGAGGTCAAGGATGACAAATGGAACCTCGGCAACGTACGACAGACCCTCGTAATCATGGCCTCCGCTTCGGGTTCGAATCTGCAGGCCATGGCGTTGGGAACAGATTATGGTTGCCTGAATATGGGAAACAACGAGTGGTGTGACAATGACAAGGGGTTTTGAGCTTGCGTTGAAGAATCTAAGATTTTGAATGGAAACATCTAGTACAGAAGAGTATGATGTGTTGGATTGGGTGTAAACAACATTGGAGATTGAGGTGGTGTTATGGGGATAATTGTAAAGACATTGAACAAACTTTTCATGACTATCTGCTGAAGAAGGTGTAAATGAAAATAAAAGAGCAATGATAGTAACAAAGGTAAAATACGAGCTTAGACTCTTCATTTTTGAGGATGGTTTCTTGTTGATACGAGAATTGCAAGTTGAGAAAGAGTAATGTAGAATCTCTAATTTATAGTAGTTCCCAGTTTAATGTTAACGTCCTAAGGTGTAGACACTAGATTTATCAACGCATGCCTAACTCTGGCACATGAGAGGATACAATTCAATTGCGTAATCTAATACGAGACAATTCTACAAATTTATACATGGAGACAATTCAACGTAAGAAGTTCATGGATAATATCAAGGAAAAAAGTACACGATGACCTTGCATTTCATGTCATATGCACGCAATTTATATAATAGAATATTGACTACTTCATTCTGAAAATCCTTCGTAAAATTGAACAATTATATATATTTTTTAAGATTATTTTGTTCTTGTCTTCAACCTTGGATATTCGCAATAACTCTAGAGAGATTATCTGCAGATGAGGTAATAATGATGTGATTTATAATTATATTATTTTAATTATTTAATAAAAAGAAAATTTAGTAAAAAAATAGTTTTTAGAAAACAATAATAAATGAACGCCTATTACTTTAAAATCTCTCATTCAATTCTATCGTGTTTTTTTCTTTCCAAGTACTAACAAAATGTGTATTTTGTTCTCTAAATAATATTATTTGGTGTTAGATGAGGACTTATATTTTAAAGAGGGTGTTTTTTTCTTTCATATTTTTAACTCCCCCAATAAATATACAACAACAAAAATATGGTGGAGCTCAACTTTTCAGACAAGCACTGCTTCCACGTAGAAGGAATTAAATATGGGATGTTCATCTGAGAAAATTTAGGTTGAGTTAGAGACAAATTAATGTTTTTTTTTTAATTTACAATATTCAAATTTTAACATCAAATGTCTAAAGAAGATCATGGCCTTTTGTCACTTAAACAACAGATTTTACATTGAAATCGTTTCTTATAAAATGAATTTTGTAAATTAACAGTTATGCTAAAGTCAAGATTTTTAACATAAGTTTATATTAAAAAAAATTATGAATTAAAATTAAATCATTTCTTAATTTTGGTTCAATCTCTCCATGATTTGTTGTATTCTTTTATATGATGTTTTAACATGTAGCTACTTGATGGATCTTTGGTTTCATTGAGATGTTTAAAATTTCTGGCTGCATTCAAACGAAAAAGAAGTTTATAGCTTCAACAATTATGTACTTGAAATTAATTTCATATCACCCACGTTTTCACTGAAACTCTATTTTTGACAGCCTTTAGGTGACAAAATTATATTTTAAATTATTTAGAAAAAATTGGAAAATGTGAATGATATATATACGTAACTTTATTATAACCTTGAACATGAACACCAAGAGAAGCAAGCTGATTTGTTGAAGGAGGAGAAGTTCGCAATGTTTTAGTGTTGATTGAGTTGAAATTTACGTGATAAAAGTGGTCGAGTAGTTTGTACAAAAACGAAATTGATTAAAACTTTTCTCTCAGGATCTTCACACTTTTACTCCTCAACGTTTCAATGTCTCTCCGGTGATTTTATCTTCTTTTTCTCTTTTTTAAGCACATTTAGACAGTTGCTGAATGTTGTTGTTAGAAGTGTGGAAATGTACTACGTTTATGTCTAGCTTATCACCTTCTATATATATATATATATATATATATATAAAAGAATGTACAGATGTATTTTTTATTTTATTAAAATTATTATTAATATTTAAAAAGAAAATATTTTATCGTCTAATCTTATATATTTGTATTTGAATCCGTTATTTTATGATAAACACAGGGAATGAGAATATATAAATACACTCCATTATTTTATCTCCATTAAAATTTTAATCATCTATTAAGATAGACAACCACCACACGTTTTGAGATGGAAAATATTTAAATATAAAATTAAACTTACTTACAAATGTGTTTCAAACTTTTAGTATATTAATATTTATTATACTTTTATATATATATATATATATATATATATATATATATATATACTCTCTCTTTTTTCCTAAATAATATTCATAGATTTTCTAATTGAAAAAGAAATATTAACATTCTTATTTTATTTAATAACTAATATATTCACTAAAACTTAAATAAAATGAAATTTTAAAACTTTAAATTAAAATTTTAGAATGTAAAAAATGTGTTTTCATGAAAATGTTGTTTAATATATAACACAAATAAATAATTATAAAATATATGATTAAATTAATTAACTTATTATATTTGTATATGATTTTAAAATAAATACATATTTAAATAAAATATGAATATAAGTGGTACTTATTGAAAGTTTAAAAAAAATATTAGCTTTGGAGAGTATGAATATGGTTAAAGAAAATATCAAGGAAAATGGGCGTTATTTATTTTTACTTTTAAAAGGAGCGGTAGATAAATTCTTTAGTATAATATTCTTATCAATTTTTGCATGAATAAATTATTATTATTATTATTATTATTATTATTATTATTATTATTATTATTATTATTATTATTTTAATTAAAACTTATATATCTTTATATTTTTATTTGTTCTAAATTCCTATATTATTTAAATATATATATTTCTTTTTTATTCTATCATGTATTTGAAAATGTATAGTTTTTTTTTGTCATTCGCGTTTTCTCAATAGGGTCGATATTATGACGTCAAAGGTGAGCACAAAAATTAGCAGGGAAAAGTATGAATTTCCCCACCATTTGTTTGTTTATGAGCATAACATTATAACAATGCGTGTTCATATTTCGTAACTTGAACGTCAAACCTTCCTAGTTTTCTACCTTCACAATAGCCTGGGAATAATTTGTAGTCACAACCCGCGTTCATGTCTTTATTTTGACTAATTCTTCTTACTACAGAATCATACGGGTTATACCCATGAACTTGAACGCCATATAATTTTTATATTTAGTGGTTAAATCAAATAAAAAAATTAATAGCCTTATATTTTCAAACATATTAAAATTTTTGGTCAGTCAATAACAGTTAACGTGTCAATTTTGACATAATTAAAAATTTAAAAAAAATTATTACCAGGTCTGTATAAAAGTAATTAATTAAAAAAATATTTAAATAAAAATTTAAATTATATTAATAAAATTAATTTTTATTTTAAATATAATAATTTAATATATAAATTATAAAATAAGATGTTTATTTAATCTTAAAATAAGAGTTAAAAAATTCCTGTTCATTATCTTCATCCATGAAAATGTTGTTGAGTCTTTCGAGTGAGATTCAAATGGGAGAAATATATCAATAAGACATGAGTCCAACCTATGTAAGACATTAACATTACTCTCAACCTAAAATCTTAAGACTTTAGGTTGAGAGTGGTATCAATCATTGTGTGGATTGAACCCATATCTCATTGGTGTTGGTCTCCTCTATAAATTCCCCTCAAAAGACCCAACAGTGATTTCATAACCGAAGGTTGATCGACAATGAACTTAGAATTATACTTGTATATCCTAACAATCTCTCCTTCAAATGTGAATTCCTCTACATTGGGTACGAATGAGAAAGTTGAGCATTATAGAAGGAAGTATAACACATAACTTAATGCCTTAAGGTTTTTTGTTGAAAGTGATGTCAATCCCTTATGTGAGTTTGACTCATGTCTCATTAGTGTGTTTCTCCTGAATTGTAGATCCAATTTTGTTTTTGAACTTTGAAAACATATTTGACTTCTTCTTAATGAGTTACACACATAATCTCATAGGGTAATCATCATTCATAGAAAATAGTTTACTCCTCCTAAGGATAATACATACAGATGATCCTCACACATGAGAATATACCAACTTTAATATGTAATTTACTCCTAATAGTCAATCTAATAAATTTTAATCAATATTGTTTTCATATCACATACTTCTCACAAAAGGTAAAATAACTTATTTGAGCTTGAGTACGAGATTATGTTTTGTAGGAATTTTCAAACCTTGCTCTAACATATGATTAAGTTTGTGATGCAACATGATTACCACTTCTTCTATGCTTGTTTGACCCAATTTGTTATGTCACATGATTATCCCTTCTTATAAACTTGATGACATAATAGATGTATGTGTTTCTTGTAATGCATCTCCCAAAAGCACATATAAATTTTGCATGATCTTTTATATTTTCATAATTACCAAATTTTCTTTCACCACTTTAAAGATTTCACTTTCAGTAAGGATCTTACACCTAATGTCATCTCATTGCCTAATAGATAATTAATTCTTCTTCAAGTCCTTCACATGTCATATTTCTTTAATCATTTTTACCATACCATAATACATTTTTATTTTGGTTGTACTAACTTCAACAATCTTTAAGGCATATGATTATTTCCCATAAATACGCATCCTCCCAAGATAGTTTCATAAGTGTAAAATCAATCTTGATATCGAATCATGTGTCAAGTTTCACCTGAATTCATTATCCACCCATCACGAAACTAATTTTCACCTTTAGAGTTGTTAACCAAAACATCTTCATCTTTTAACACTAGTGAAAAAAATGGCTTTTACGTCACTCAATTGTCGTCGCATGTAAAAATATTCGACGTAAATAAAACGCGGTGGCAATTTTGTAAATAAGAGACAAAACTTTTACATTGCGCACCCCAGCACGCGACATAAAAAGCCTTCTTTTACGTCGCGCCACGTAGTTGCGACGTAAAAGAGGCTTTTTACGTCGCGTGCTAGGGTGCGCGACGTAAAAAGTCTCTTTTATTTCCCCTCAGACTCACTCCCTGGTCTCGCGCAGCAAGGGTTTTTGAGAACGACGACAACATCTACCTCTACACACCATTTTCGATCAGTTTGACAGTGAAAAACATCAACATTGTGTGTCATTTTACGAACTTGATATTTCTCCCCGATTGGATTCGAGTTTGAAATCATTTTTCGTCTATACTCGAGGTTAGTGTTCTATGTCATTGCTATATGTTTAAATTGAAGCTGTGATTGTTTTTGGAGATATCAATCACGTTATTGTATGAATGTCTCAACTAGATTGTTATTGGAATGTAAT